TAGCTGCTGATGGAGCCCATGTAGAGCTCATAGGTGCTGTGAGAGAGGATACAAACAGGCCATCCAGGAGGAGGTGAGATAGATGCCTTAGTTATGGAGCAGGAGGGAATGACTAATGAGTGCTGAAGATTTTAGGCCATTATAACTCATACTATGATGTATTTTAACTGTCATGTGGCACAACAAATCCCAGTCATATAAGATAAAAACCTTAATAAGTACATTATTATTGCTCCACAGATCATGGATCACCATCCTCTTCTTCTTCAAGACATAATATTGAATTTAGAACCGTTAATGACTCAGTAATGGTCTGTACTCTTTAAATAAAAGGAAGAGTCTTACGTTTTGCACTTCAAATAAAAAGCTGTGCATCTTACACTACTTTGTCACACTGAGAATGCAAAGGAAATGTTCAAGAAGGAAATTAAAGTGCTGCTCCAAAGCATATGTAAATGACTAGAAGGCAAAAAATGCCTTATTCCTGATCTGGAAAAACTTTTTATATTCTGAGAAAAGAAGAACACCCCATGTTCTATGAAGATGAATCCAAATCCAGATAAGGCCATCACTTTTGATTGTTATACTGACAAGAGAAGTGAGAAAGCTGCAGAAGAACTTTCAAGGTGCCAGAGTTTGGTCCATTATGTTTTTGGCAAGAGGCCCCTCTCCATAAAATAAAAGTGCAAGGCAAAGAAACAAGTGCCGAAGTAGAAGCTCTTGCAAGTCATCTAGAAGGTCTTGCTAAGCTATTCGATGAAGATGTGTTGTGCTTGGAGGTATTGGTGTCTGAAGTTCAGTTATGGCAGTGGTGGAAAAGGCAACTGAGGAGTCTGTAGGTGGCAAGGTCAAGCCAGGTATCTAGAGAGTTGCATTCTCATTCCCTGGCAGTGGCAGGAGTCTGGTCCCAGTGCAGTGATGGTGGCTGCAGCATCACTAGGGGCCCTGTGGGGATTCCAGTGGCTTCAGAGTGGAGCTCTGATAGCGGTGATGGTGACAGCCTGGGACAGCAGGCCTAGGAGTCAGAGGGTGACTGGAAGCTGTGATGGCCTCTGCAGTGGCTCCTCCAGGCAACTGGTATTGCTCCTTGTAACGCCTGCCTGCCCACTAAGCAGGGTGGAGGAGCCGGTGGTACCCAGACACCTGCTGAGGACCTTATGCTTCCCATTCCAGCAATGCCTGGCATTGGCCTTGAGTCTACCAGGCTGCTCACCTAATCCTTGAGTTCACCCTGCCCTTCCCTGAGTTGCAGCCTCTGAGGGATGAGTAGGCCTGCTGCCAGCTAGGGCAGCCTTGGGAGAAAGCACCCACCCTCCCCAGCTACATCTCCCCTGGGCTGGGGTAGCAGAGTGCAGAGGTGGGAGGTGGGGGGGCCTAGAAAATCCTCACCATCCAAGTGCATCCCTGGGGCGCTACAAGGGTGGAGTGCACAGGTGGCAGTGGGAGTCTAAGGGCAACGAGTTCCCTGTCTTGGTCTTCTGCCACCCCCAGCCACTAAATGCACTTTGGGGGTGAAGATGTCTTAGGACCTCTGCTTTCTGCACCCACAGTCACTCAGGAAGTGGCTGGGGATGGTGAGGTTTCTCTCCCAAGACCGCCACAACTTAGAAGACAACATAGTTCCTCAGTAGAGAGGCTATATCAGGCGATGGGGTGAGCAGACACACAGTGGGCTCATGGCTAGAGCGAGACATGGCAGCTGTGGGAAGCATAAGGTCCTGGGCATCTGCCTGGGTACCACCGCCTCCCGCATTCTTCTTCCTGAGCAGGCCAGTCGACCAGGCGCAAGACCAGGGCCTGGAGCCTCCACCACAGAGGACATCCCATCTACTGGTTACCTTATTACTCTGACACCACCTATCCCATGCCCTTGATGCCATGCCAGCCTGGAGCTCTTTGCTGCAGCCAACCAGACTCCCCATATTGCCACTGGATGCCACCTTCCCTGTTCTTCACCGGGACATGTTACTTCTGTAGCATGAAGATGCTCCCTGCTGGACACTGCCTGTTGTTGCTGCCCCTGCTTCTGAACTCTTATGGTGCCACCACTATTATGCATCACTGAAACTTCCAAACTCCAGATGGACTCCAACACTGCCCACCAAGGCCCCAATGTCATTGTACTTTACCCCACACCTGGTTACCGACCTCTATACTGAGGCTGGACCCCTGATGCAGCTGTATGTTGCTCCCGCCCCTGCCAGACTGGAGCTCCACCCTGCTGCCACCAGACTTTAACATGGATACTAGACAGTGACACTCAGTACTGGGGCCAACTTCATTGCAACTGCAGCCAAACCCTTGTCACTATGGCAGATGAAAACACTCATGGCTGGAAGCATCTGTTGTTACAACCACTGTTTTTGGATTCTTCTATCGTCACCGCCACCATGAGTAGGAAGAAAGGAACTCCTAAATCACAGCTGCATGCTGACACCCCCACAGTCGCGCCCACCTCACACCAATACTCAACTCCTGACTCTCGACGCCTAATGCCCTATGCCCAAAACAGCTGGATGCTGCTCTTGCCACCATATGCCACCATTTCATGATGGTGCCATTGCAGTGAATTGACCCCAACGATGCTTCTCTGCTCAAGATGTATAAGAGCTGGGAAACTGATCATTCTCCATTACAGTCACCTCACCAAGTTCCACTGCATGCTGCCTGCCTTTTGTCACCCCAGGACCAGACACCAGTCCTCAGGGCCCTTGAGGAGTTGTGGCTCTAACTCAGGGACCTCATCCAAATAAACAAGTGAGTACTCTAAATAAAGGCTGAAGTCCTCACAGCAGGCAGTGGGTGGGACTAGGTGGGTCCAGCAAACTGGTGAGAGGGTGGGGTTAGAGCCTGGGAGCTGCTGGCAAGGTCTAGACCTGATCCTGTAGGGCAAGATAGAGAGGGATCTTTGGCTGCTCTGG